AATTCAGGCTGGCCTTGAACTCACTATGTAGCCCAGGCTGGCCTCGAACTTGTGACAATCTCCTTCCTGCCTCAGCCTCCCAAGGGATGGGATTACAGCAATGGGCCATCACGCCCAGTGTTGGCTTAATTTTTTTTTTTTTTTTTTTTTTTATGGTGGCACTGTACTGGGAATTGAACTAGAGCCTTTGCATTAAGCTACCTCCTCAGCCCTAAAAGTAGGTTTTATACTGCAGTTATGTGAGGTATATCAACATTTCTTATGGGAAGTCTCTATTCCTCTCTTTTTAAGGGAGTGACTTAGGAAATGAAATCTACTGTTCTAGTGAAGGCCTTATTTGAAAGCCTTAAAAGTTTGAGAACCTGAGCTGTAGGAGCCAACAGAGCTTATGACAAAATCTTTAAGCGTCTAAAATTTGCAGCTGGAGCCTGGTGTGGTGGTGCATGCCTGTGATCCCAGCACTTGGGAGGCTGAGGTGGGAAGTTCACTGTGAGTTCAAGGCCAGCTTGGGTTACATAATGAGTTCAAGACCAGCCTAGAATACATAGTGAGACTCTGTCTCAAAAAAAAAAAAAAAAAAATTACAGCCAAGTATGGTGGCACACATCTGTGATCCTAGCACTTGGAAGGCTGAGGTAGGAGATTGCCTCAAATTCTAGGCCAGCCTAAACTACATAGTGATACCCTGTCTCACACACCCACCAAAGAGTCTAAAATTTGTCCTTCACTTTTTATTTTTCTTTATTCACTCCTACCCCCATCACATTTATCCAGAAGGAGCTCCGCTTTCCACCAGAAGTCTAAGATGGCGGAACTAGAAGGGACCTCAGAGGTCAGTGTGGTCCAACTTCCTTAATGAACAGACCTGAAAATATACCCGAGTGATAAAATGGTTTAATTTTCTTCCCTCCTCTCTCTCTGAGGCTTGGAGCTGGGCTTTTTGTTCTTCCCTTCTCTTCTGAACAAATGTCAGAGTCCTTTGCCTTCCCCAGACATCTCTATGGGATCTGGACTCCAGCACTTCAGCCCTGTTTTTCTCTCTGATCCTTTAACTGCATAGAGAACACTGCCATTGATGTTGTACATCCTCCTGAGGCCCAACATGCCCAAAACTAAGCTTATGAGTGTGTGGGTGTAGCTCATGGTAGCATGTTCTCCTGGCAAACACAATGCCCTGGGTTCGGGGGTGGGCACAGAAAAGACACATTTATGACATTTTCCCACCACCACAAATCACACCAGAAAAAGCCACCTCTCTTTATTTAATTGCTCAAATCAAACATCATCCCTGATATCACCTTGTTTAGTGACCCCTCCCCATTCAATCACAAAGACCTCTCCTTTTACCTTCTAAAACTTCTTAATTTGGTCTACTCGTACCGTTTTCATATCATTTTTAGCTTTTAATTTGAGACAGGGTCTCGCTCTGCAATTTAGGCTGACCTTGAACTTGCTATGTAGACCAGGCTGGCCTAGAACTCACAGCAATCCTGCTGCCTCAGCCTCCCCAGTGCTGGGATCACAGGCGTGCATCACCAGGCTTATTATTATTATTATTATTATTTTGCCTGGACTTAATGTGATACTCTTCTCCTAATCTCTCTTCTCACTGTGTGTGATGGGGGTGGAGTGGGAACTGAATCCAGGGTCTTCCACTGAGCTACACTCCCAGCTCTTTTTATTTTTGAGACAGGGTCTTGCTAAACTGCCCAGCTGAGCATTAACTTGAGATGCTCCTGCCTCACATTCCCAAGTAGCTGGTATTACAGGCAGGGATCATTAGGCTAGGCCCCACAGTGAACTTCTTAAAATGAATTGGTACCCGCTATGCTATACACCCTGTATTACATCACCACTGTTCACAGTGAAAAAATCAGGTCCTAACATTCCTCTTTGGTACCATATTCTCCAGTCTCATCTGGTACCACTTTCTCTTATTAATGTGTCAGTCACACTGCCCATCTTTCAGTTCCTCGTCGGTGCCTAGCTCCTTCCTTGGTTAGTTTAGGGCCTTTGCACATATTATCCTCTTGGTTCCCTTCCCTCCTTGCCTGGCCAATTTCTCATCATCCTTCAGGTCTTAGCCGAAGTTCATATCCACATGGAAAACTTCCCCGGCTCCTCTGAGGAGCCTCTCTGTACTTCCTCATTGCACAACTATAATTGAATAGCTATTTGAATAACTATTTGCATAGTTCAATTTCCCTAGTCTCTGAACCTCAAGAGAAGGTGAACTATCTTAAGACTCTCCCCTGCCACAATGCCTGGCCCTCAATAAATTCTTTTTTTAAAAAAAATAAATTCTTAATAGAGGTATTGAATGTTTCATCCAACCAGTTGCAGAGCTAAAAACAAGAATATAAACTCATTTTCAGTCCAGTATTCTTTTCACCAAGTTATAAAATGATATCGCACAGTCCAGCCTTCCTTTCCTTCTTCCTAATGATTAAATATATCTGACTTGAGTGTTCTGTTCCTCTAGGAGCCTGTTAAGGCCAATCTGGTAAACTAATCCACGTTTAGAGATTACCTGTCCCCCCAAGGATAACTGGATTTAACTTGGAAGTCCTGGAGAAAAGAAGGTAATCCCAGAGGAACTAATCAAAATTGCACCATGAAGATACTATTGGAAGGGAGGAATTTTTACTTATAACCCTTAATGAGATTATAGGAAAGAAACCTATGATATGCCAAGCATAGTCTAATGTCTTTAAAAAAAAAACTTTATCTTTGCAACAAAGCTGTTTGCTAGGCATTATTCGCCTTTGTATTAAATGCAGAAGTCCAAGAAAGGCTTAGTAATTTTCCTAAAGTTGCACATCTGGTGGGGAAGCCAGTATTTAGACTGCCCTCCCTGGATATGACTCCTGGTCTAATCCTCTTTTTACAACACCATGCTGCCTCCAAGGGTAAGTGTAGGCAACTGCTAACACAGTTTATATATAAATTTGGGCCATGGGGTTAACTGGCTGATTATCTTTAATAAAAAGTATTACCAGGTTTCTTTTACTCCATTAGTGGGATCTACACTCTGACACCTGACATTTTACTATCGCCACCAAAAATCTTTCCTCTCTGGTACTTAACCTATGTAGCCCAGGCTACATTGTTCATTCATCTATAAATGTGATTATGGGCAGAAAAAAGTGCGTTGAGCACTTTGAACAAAATTATGATGTAAAAAAAAATTTTCTTTTTGGTACCGGGGATCCAACTCAGGACCTTTTGAGGCAGGCGGTGACACCACTGAGCTAAATCCCCAGCCCTATGATGTAAAATTTAAGATACCTTTTATTTTACTTTGGAGTTCACCAAAGCTTCCCATATCCTGTGAGACAATAGTGCCTTATCTGTCCACTAATATTTGCAATAACAAAAGATACCAGGAGATAGGTTTCTCCTAGTATATGTCCTTCCATGAGGTGGGTTTTTCTTTGATTAAAAATGTGTTTGCCTATCTTTTCCATCTCCTCTGGATTCTGATTCCTGAACGTACGATTCTCTCCCGGGATGTGCAGACAGCATTATGTTCTTACAGTAATGTCAGATGCACCTATTTAATAGCTTTGTAACCTTGGGCAGATTACTTAACCTCTCTGATTCCCCATTGTGAAATGGAGAAACTGATAGCTATTCTGCAGTTGTTGAAAGGCCTTCATTTGTTTGAAGCACTTAAGGACAAAGGCGGGACCACAACAGGTAGCCTGATAATGTTAATATTCTTCCTTTCTTAGATCCAGAACATCCTCTCTGGAGATCCGGATTTATAGGTTCAACAGACTCTTTGTAGCACAGTACATGTACAATTTTGTGCAGATATGTGGTGTCTTTTTCTTGGAAATAAAGCCCACAATTTAACAAATTACTTGGGGCCAGTGGCTTCCTTGAAAGAGACTAGGTTTTTCTGTCATTCAAAGATAAAGTGTGACTTTCTTTTGCGGAGGGGACGTGGTATTTTGTTGTTGTTCTGTGGCTGCATGCTCGCAGGGCACTCTTTGCAGCCCTCTCACAGAAGAGGACAACTATGCTCGTGGGCAGGGCTCCCATCGAGTTTCCCTGGAGGTTCTGTGATCTCTCTTCGGGTTCGCTTCCGAATGGGGGTGGGGGCGTCATTGGCAGCTGAGAAGCAGGGTTATTTTAAGGTCTTTCGGGCTGCGGAGGCCGCAGTCTTACTGAGAAACAGGATTTTATGGATTTTTCTCAGGCTCAACCTCCTCTCTCCAGGTACTAGTCAGAAGCCCCGAGCTAAGACCCCAGCCGCCAGCACCGTCCTAGGCCCCAATCGCGAGGTAGTGGGGGCGGGAAGGCCGCGCGCGTCGCTTCCGCTCCTCCAACCCACCAGAGTGCGCC